CAATTTTAGCTTGTCCCTCAGTTTATTTCTTGGTCACAGCGCTACTGGCTTCAGGTATAATATATATCACCTTTACTCAGGTGAGTAAAGAAGAAACACGGTGTTGTGGGCAGGAACATGGATTTCGGGAAGAGGTTCCGTCTGCACCTCCTAGCGACCCACGGACTGKCTCCCATGTGAAACCCCACACTGTGAATGGGTGATTTCCTGCCTCAAGGTCAAGGACACAGTGGAGCATCCACAGACTCTGCAGAAATAGGAGATTTGATGATAAATAGCTCAAGATTCAAGCGAGGCAAAGGCAGGTYCCTTTTTTTGCAAGTTTTCCGCACTTCCAGAGGTGCCGTGCCAGAACCCACCCATGGCGAGGGCTGGGGAGGCCACTCTGGCCATCTGCAGGATTCACTTTTTGTCAGGTTTTCTGCCAATAATCTCCACCTTGGAGCCAAAGCCCAAGTTCTGCAGATCTCATTTCCTGCTTCCATTGCACCAGAGTCATCCCAGCGGGATGAGATCGCGGCCCTTGTCCAGGATGCCAACGGAAACTACCTACATCTACTAACTACTACTACATCGACTACCTGATGGTTCCTCATTTATAACTATAAACTCCAAGTCCTCTGCGCAGGGAGAAAGCTGGCATTAATGGCCATTTTCATAGCCACATGTCTGCTTGGGGCATATAACCGGCATCACCTCTTGGGCTGGCATTTTGCTCATGACGCATCTGTCCCTAGCTTAGGGAGCCCTGCAGCTGCTGCAGGGTCTTGCTTGGGCACAGCCTCAGCACAAACTTGGATGCAAAGAGGAGGAGAGCCCAGGCTGGCAGCATTAAGAGCACTGTAAGTGATGTCTTTTTTTGTAGAAAACTTGCTAGGGGCTGTCATAAGCCCCCAATCAAGTACTCGCTCCAGGCAARAGATACGGTATGGAGTCCATCCTGTGCCGATGTCCCTAGCACAGAGCTTAACACAGCAGCTAAGCACGTGCTTAACTCAAACACCTGGGTAATCCTTTTGATGATAAGCCTGTGCTTAAGTGCTTTATTGGATCTCAGCCAGGGCGCTCTACGCCTTGCAAAGCTGAGCTCCAAACRGGATAAAACATCACCTAAGTGTTGAAGAAAAGGTAGGGATGTCACCCCCACCTTGAGCTGCCAGAAACAGATGGTCTGTTGACTTGGGAACGTCACTTGCAGATAGATTGGTCTTGTATTGACCAGGAGAGCATCCATTCCCCCATTACTAAACAAATGTATTGCTTTTAATTTCAAATAGCAGAATCATTCAGGCTTGTTCCTGTTTCTCCTTCAGTGATATTTTTACAAGGGTTCCTGAAATCCTTACGCTGCTGAAATTCATATGCAAGGACAAAATATAGACAAGGATTCTGCATGAGACTTGCCCACTTTCCAGCCATCTGGTCTACAGCAGCACTGCTTAACATGTTAATGCCCTTAAAGACCTTTCAAAGAAAACTCAAGACGTGGCCTTAGTCACTGCAGTGATCAGGGAGAGAGTCAGAAAKTCAAGTTTGCTGCTTGACAACGGGACCTACTCCATAATCCAGAGGAAAAGAACACGAAGGGATGAAGCCGCTGCTCCTTCCAGATTTTCCTTTATGCAGCAGACATAATCGCAGTGGGACGGCGTCTGCTGCAAGGAGCTATTTCACTAGCTGGGTCCACAAGTGACACAACATTTTGACATGGGTTTTCCAAAGGAAGACCCAAAACTGGACGTTTAGAGAGAAGAACCAAGCAGTATCTCCCATTGATCATACTGGAAGCCTCCTGGTGCTGGAAGCAACAGTAAAATCCAGCTACTTGTACAGGTGCTATAACATGGATTTGAGATGTTACACTTTGATTGCAGTTCTCAAGTCCTAGATGCTTTTGTACTGTTTATTACATAAGGATAGGTCATACTTCTGGAAATCAAAATCTCCAAGCACTCCTAAATCTAATTTTTTATAATRCCAAAGGAAAGCCAAACAGACTACAATTGAAGCTTCAAAACCACAAATACTCCAGTCCCTCTATATCAATGGGAAGCCCATGCTCCAGACGAGTGTTTGAGAAAGTGGCCAGCTTTGTCTGAAGGGTTATGGGGACAGAGAAGCCAACAGCCTCCCTACTCCCATGTAACAGGCATGAGGAGTTTCGTGCATCAGCTCAGGCATATGCTACCGAATCTGAGAGGCCTCTTGGCCTCCGTGCTCTGAAAGGAAAATATACTCAGCTTCATAGTCAGATCATGTATTATTTTATAAAGCACTCAAATAGTTTTTACTTCTACTACAAATTTGATTTTTTAGTGCTCATGTTTCTACCGTCCTAGTAAAGAAATCAAACACGCATTTGGATAAAAAGCTCTGCAGAAAAATTGTCCCAATGAGCATGACCTGGAGTGTGCAATAACAAAGACCTGCATCCGCTTACTCGGCACACTCTGGAAGACCCTGGTGGCAGACACTCGCCGCTGCCTTGGTGACCTATTTAAAGGCTTTCTTTGAAATACTCTCCACGTTGTTTTTCATAGCAGGGCATGAACTATGATGAAATCACTAAATTCGTGTTCTCTTGCTTTTGTTTAAAAAATTACTGCCATCCCTTAAAAGCTTGTTTGCTTTGTTGATTAAGAAGCAGTCAATTTTCCCTTTTTAAACAACCGCACAGCAACGGCCCCCTCCGATATTCGGGCTGCTGGCAAACACTAAACCCGCGGTGACAAACTGCAAAAAAGCTTGACCCTTCCCCCGTCCGGCGACCCCGCGTTCGATCCGTACTCCAGCAAACCAATACCTGATTAGATAATGCTCCGCTCCAGGCCCGCCAAATGAGATAAAATCTAAATTTATGGCTTTTCATTTAAACTGGTCTACAGCACTCCCATCACGACCCACGCACGACCACATCCCAACAATCTCTCTTTGTTCCCCCTGCGCACGTTGCAGCTGGGGTAAACGCATGGGCACAAGGGACTGTGTTTTCTTGCTCTGACTGTGCTCTGCCCTGATGCCACGGGGAGCTTTGCATCCTATGGCATCCATAGCAGCCTGGTGATGGACAGGGGGACTGGGACAGGCGCTGGTGAGGTCCTTTGGAGCACAACTAAATGCACCACACCTGTCCTTCAGCCTTAATCCTCAGTACCTGCAATTCTGCTCATTATATAAGCTGTGCTAACCCATATTTGCCCCCTTTCAATAACACTTAACTCATTTGGGGGAAAATACTCTGTTCCAAGCTTCCTTGAGTACTACTAGCTGAGTGGCCAAGTTGCAGAGGGACCTGACTGCTGTTTTTGTGTGATTTTCCTCCAACCCTTCCAGTAGCCTCTCCCCAGCTGTGCCCAACACATGGTGCTGTTCCAATGCACGAGTCCTGCAGCTCCGAGTGCTGCCAGCTGACCTGGGAGCTTCCACCAGCCTCCAGATGGGCTCCTGACCTTAGTAGCTTCCAAAATCCTAAATATTTCAACCATAAAAACTGATCTCTATTATTACAGTATACTATGAATATCTAGATACGAATATCGAAATGGGTTTCCCTTCATTTCAGAGGGGCTACCCTCTGTGTTAAATGTGCCTTTGCGGTTGTGTCTTAGCAGTTTTGCTCAAATTTCTGTCATTGATATCTGAGCTTAATTGCGGTGTGGCTACAAGTCAGCTTTTATGGTTTCCTGGTGCCTTGTTCAAAGAATAAAGATTTCTCACCAGCAATTACATTGCATCGGGGTCTGTTAACTTTATAGAGTCCTGCCAAGTCTATAATTTCTCTTGACACTATTCTGTCATATTGTCACAGGTCTCACAAGTGTTTAAACAACTGGACGGAAAGTTTGCAATGAATTCACTGAGTATTTATTGATAGTTAAAAGCAAACCAAACATTTATTATCCGCCATATCTTTGAGGCTCTGCTGCACAGTGAAACTCCATTTTTCCTGGGAAAATGAAAGTCCCAGCTACCCAAAGGTCAATCATGCCCCTGGAGAGTCATGCAAACTTCTCTTCTTATCAGAAACCTTGTTATCCAAAGGAAAAGTACAGATGGGAACCCAAGATTGTACTCTATTTCTACAGCACATTGTTAAGACTATGAATAAAACTATGAAGGAATGTTTTTATGTCACGTTAAACCAACAGTAAGGAAAAAAACTAAAATCTTCTTCAGCTCAGAAGCTGCGTTTATGCCACAGAGACCTGAGGACTGAGACGAGGGGCTTCACTAAGCGGCAACATGAGCTTAGAGCTCAGGGCATTCGGACAAGAGGCTCTGGGGACATGGTTTAGTGCCGGATATAAGAGAAATATCCTTGATCCTTTGGGATCGTGTGATCCCAAAAGAGAAAATTCAGTGGGGACACACCTTGTAAACCCAGGACAAGGAGCGCTAGTACCAATCTGGACCTTGGACACTGCYGGCTGCTCCAAAGGGGACGGGGCTCCACAGGAACGGGGCGGCACAGGAAAGCGGCAACCCGGGCGGCTCCACAGGGTTGTCCAGGGAATGCACACGCGTTGCCCCATGGGCAGGGAGAGCGGGACATGGACACGGCACCAGGAGCCCTTCACGGAGCGCAGCGTTTCCCAGAGCTCCTGGGCAGTAACATGAGCCACATCAGGAGTCCCTGCTTCATGACCCCGGCATCCAAACAGACCTTCATTAAACCAATGGCAAAATCGCCATTAACTTGGATGGAGCCAGGAGCACATCCTTAGCATTCAAAGCCCCTGAGAAGCACAAGGTTTTGCAATACTAGTTTGGCAAACAGTGGAAGATTTTAGGGCTATTCTAGGTGTTGTCAACAGAAATCAATGACGGACAACACCAGAAGTAGTACCCAATTTCTTCTCAGATAACGCAGTGCCATTTAGCAATCCTCATTCCCAGCTTTGCTAGATTGATTATGGTGATACCACTGTTATCCACCCAACAGACCTCATGTGTGAAGAGTAACAATAATTCACAACCCTTACTGTCTTTAAGCTTACACAATTTTCCTGCAGAAAGCAGCAAAAGGCCAGGAAACACTCTCATTACACACAAAATATTCCCTGGCTGCTGCAGGTAGAACTCAAGTTGTACAAATACCTCTGTGTTTATAGACGTTCAAGAGAGCTCAACAGACCCGAGGAACGTAAAGTGTCTTACCTCCCAACCAGAACTGGGATCCTTAAGGTGCGGCCGTTGCTCACCTACAAAAGGGCCAAACTTCTCCCCTGCTTCGATCTTCCTTTTGGTCCATATCCCTAATCCTGCTCCYGGAATGTTGGATTCGCGCAGCTCAAACTCTGAAGGAATGGGAATGTCGTCAGGAATGTATATTGGAGCTTTGTAAGGAGAGCTCTCCTTTGGTGTGAAAGCTTCGCTGGAGGTTGCTGGAGAAGACGGCTCTTGGACAGAAGAYGTTGGACACTGGATGTTTGCAGCTTCTCCATCAGCTTCTGGCGCTTCCTCCAAAGGAAGTTCAGGAAAGCTTTCATACARGCATTCATCACCTGAAAAATAAACACCGCCTGTGAGATTTGAAGTAGAGGAATAAACTGACAGCTTTTGCATATGAAACTCCTTCAGCCTGCACAGGAATTAGAAAGGGAACTTCAGAAGCCTGGTGGCACCTTTCTCAACCACTAACCCTGCAGCAGAGCCTCATCCAGAAAGGAGCTGAACCTTTTCCCTCTTGCAGGGCTGGAAGTGCACTGTGTTTCTTAGTATTCCTGACATCAAAAGTGCTTTACATCATTGCACGGAGGCCTAGCATGAGCGAGGGAATTGCACCCAGATGTATCTGCAGGCACACCCTGGTGTCCAGCCTGCTCCGGAGAGAGCACTGCGCGTTGCGTCCGCTTTGAAACTGCGGTTGAAAGCCAGTATTATACGTTACAACTGAAACCTAAGTGAAGTGAAAAGCAGGAAAGCTTTAGTGGCCTTTCAGAGAGACAGGCTGAGCCTAAAGAAGCCAACATTAAGTTTGACGGCCTCCAATTAGTCTTTAAAGGAAAGGATCCAGCCTACCACGTAACTGCTGGCAAGAAGCACGGCTGATGTAAATCAGTGTCTTGCCGCTGACCTCCAGGAAACTCAATGGTCTATGTAAGTTCAGGATCCAAATAGTACCTTATAGAGAACCTGAACCTTCTCCTTTTACAGTTATGAAAAACTGGGGCAGACCCAAACACATTAAAAAATAAAAGCCCTGGGACTTAGCCAGCAAACAGAAAGCCCCCACCAAACTCCACTGTTTTTGACAGCCCTAGTTGTAAGGCTGACTGTAATTTCTCTTCAGTGTAAAAATTCAGAGCAACTTCATTAGGGGCTTAGTCGCAACAGGAATAGAGTACCAATATAGTAACATAAGCAAAAGGAGCAAAAAATGGCAAACTTACTAAAAACCTTTTAATTTTTCACATTCATTTAACTTCATTAATGTCGCCATACTTTTCCCACACACCAGCGCTCATTACTGCTATCCCAGCTAGAAGGTGAGAATACTGTTCTCCAAGSACTAAAGCTGTGAGATTGGGTATTTAAGACCCGAGCCTGAGACTATTTGCATAATATGGTTGGCCCAGCTATTTAATGCTGTGCTGTGCTTGGCGTTCAGAGCGATTCTGTTCCAGTGAAGAAATAGGACCCTTAAAATGTTCTTTCAATTTCTTGCTCATTAAAGAAACTATCCATGGTAGATTAGCACTGTATGCCTTTTCCCCTGCAATCTGGTCATAGCCCATTATCTCCCACATCTTTGTTACATATTATCTAACAATGTTATATCTGTGCTTTCCGCTTCTGGTGCTGCCTAAGACAAACAGTGGGACATAACAAATCATTCGAATAGATTGCTCCCATCACATGACTGGCAAACTGGATTCTTCATCTGCGAGCAATTTATTCACAGCCATGAACTGTTTTTCTTGCTTTTATGCGGCACTGGCTATGACCTCATGCGTGTCATAAGAAAGTTCAGCTACCCGTTCCCCCAGCCGCTGCCTTGGCAGGCTCGCCCCGCACGTTAACAACTGAGCCCAATATTGGTYCGTTTATCACTTTTCTAACACCAAAGTGGAAAATCCTAACCCACTCAACCACGGAGATGAGATGGATGCACTGAGGGTTTTTCCTTGGCCATGGCCTCGCAAGCCAGGCAAGACTCAACCCGACCTGCTGGGGGACAGGAGGTGACACCCACGGGGACATGGACAGGTTTTTATCCCAATGGACTCTCGCTAGCAGCCACCTCGGTCACGCGGGATGGAGAGAGGCCGACGCTCTCCGCGCTCCGGCCAGCAGCAGTTCCATGTCCTGCCACGACGGGCTCCTTCCCACTCCCGGTTCTGCCCCCAGGCTGCTTAGCTCATGGTCTAGCCTAAAAAACTCAGCTGGTTTGGAAACGGGGGAAACCCCCCCAAAACTCGTATACACATGGGGTGCAGGAAAAGAAATCACACAAAGAAAGTGATGTGGATGATGATAAGCATATGGCTCACTGCAAAGGCTTTTTTTTTTTTACTTTCTTTTTCTTTTTCAAAAGATTTCAGGCATCTAAACCCTCCTGATCCTCTATGACTGCTATGACGGGGTGTCCGACACCCCGGCGCCTCACGAAGCCTCTCTCGTGGCCATCGCTGCCCTCTCATCCCGCCAAGCAGCCCCATGAAGCCAAGGCCCTGATCCATGCCCGGCCGCTCCGCTCCCGTGCCCATCCGCAGCGGCTCGGGCAGCTCCCTGCAGCCGGGAGCCCCTTCCCGGAGCTGCCCCCTTCCTTGGTGCCTTGGCCCCGACCCAGGTGCCGCCCAGCTCCGCTCTTGGACYGGCGGGACCGAGCCCTGCAGCGCTCAGCAAACCGGGGCTCGCAGATGTTCCTGCTCCTCCAGGGACCGTCCACTTCAATTTCTCTCTTGCAGACTCAAAGGCCTCAGTTCTACTCATCTCAGTCATTCTGGTTCCACTAGTTTTCGCCATATAGGGTCAAACCTGCAGCTGATAAATTGGCCTCTGGAAGTTTGGCAGTGGGACAAATCCATTTGCGCTGCTCTATTGTGACTCCTTTGATTTCCAGCAGCCACACCCAATGTCATATTTAAAAATGGGCTTTCGTCTTGAAAGCTCTGGAAAATATAATATGCATTTATACCCTGCAGCTTAGCAGTGYGGGTAAAACAGATTGCTAAAATATTATTCTGCTTGAAATAGCAGTGTATTCTAGCAAAAATATATATTCAAACCTCAAAATAAACAAGAAGCTGAATTGCAACTGGTGAAGAGAGCCCGTGTAGATGGACTTGCAAAAGTACTGATAGAAGGAGCTATATTGAAATCAATGTGCTGAGGATCTGGTCTTCCTTTGCCAAGGATGTGGGGCTACTCCCTTTACAGATCACACTGATCAGGGATCAGAGGACAAACGGAGGGATATTGGCTGGTGGAAAACCTTTGTGAGGGTCRAATTGGACCAAGGGACAGGGCTCCCAGGTGCCATTTTCTAACCGCAAATCTCTCGCTCAGACACCAGGGCGGTTTTGAAATTCAAGATGGCTCCTACAAAGCACAATAATTATTCCCATCAGAGCTGGAATGAAATAAAATTGAGGCCCCTGATAAGGGAACAGATGAGATTACCTAATGTGGAAGTCCAGATATTAGCCTCCATAAAATTCTTCGCTGCTATTTTGCAATAAAAACATGAGCAAGCTTCAAAGGAAACCCAGGAGRAAAGGTTAATTGCTGCTAGAAGCCCAGGGTGGGCACCTGCGCTCCCGACTCAATGCTGCTCGGCAGCCRGAAGGCGCCCACGTGGGCCCGAGCGGGGGCTGCGGGCACGAGCACGGCAGCTGCGAGTGCCAACGTCCCCCTGCAGCCCCAGGGGCAATTCCAGGCCGTCGCAGGCTGGAGAGGACTTCCTTGCACGCGGAGGGCTCCTCAACAGCCACCGTGCGCTTCCTCTCCAAGAGGAACTGAACAGGAGGCCCTAATGAGCGAGGAAGGCAGAGGTCACGGAGCGCCACCAACACCGCTCTCTGACCAGCAGCAATTGCGAGTGACCCAAAGGCTGTTGTTTTTCCAAAGCCTGGTGTCCTCCAGCCAAAATGCCACACGCCAGCACTGTATATTAGAAAGAGGCACTTGAGCTCCTGCTCAAAGCTCCCACACCCTCTGGAGTTCAGCCCTGCACAGGGCACGTCGGGCGCACCAGCCCATGGCACACACCTACACTTACTCCTACAAGGGCTTTTTACCCCTACAAGGGCTTTCTGACACCCTCAGCTTCCCCTCCTGCTGYTCCTCAAATATCTCTTCTTCCTGTCTTCAGCCAGTTTGTGCATGAGGACATATATATTTATTGCCAAAATTACTACTGGCTGATAAATTCCCTAGCACATAAATCTGTCATTTGGTGTTATGCACATGGCCACCAATGACTTAATCATGAAGCGGGTGGCTGATTGAAGGAGGTAAGCTGGGAGCAAAAGTGTCTAGAGAGCCTATTTGAGAAGAGTTTCTAACTCCATCATCTTCAGGGCAAGATAAAGGAAGAATTGAGATAAAAGTGGAAGTGGCTCCTTCCACCTGAGAAGATGGAGGTGGTTTCACACCTGCACCTTCACCCAGGTGAGCAAGGAGACCATAGGCCACCTTGAGCAGCTCATAGCTGCTCCATAGGGAGGAGAACATCGCATGCCAGGACTTGAGAGCTCTGCTCGTGCTGATGACCATGTCTGATGCGAGTCCTTGGTGAGTCAGTGCCTTAACGAGGGCTTCTGTGGGGGAACGTTGGCATCAGGAGAATTAGCCTCTTGTCCCGAGGAAGGCCAGGTGGACCTGAGTATATCATGGCATCCTGAACTGGGCACGTTAAAGAGACTGGAGTCCATTTATATTGACCCAGTGTTTCTGTTCAGTACCAAGGAAATCAGCACAGGTTATTTGCAAGCAGATCTGAAAAGGAGGCAGGCACTTCCCTGCCTGTTACTCGGACACCTTTATCTGAATTTCTGTTTGAACAGGTATTGAAGACAAGACTGTTATAGGCAGGAACCGATTATATATCCACACAGATACAGAATGCAGGAGGCCAGGAAAAGCCAAAGAATACAAAAAGGAAATCCATTCACTTCTGAGCTGTACTAAGTCAATGACGAACTACCTGGGAGCCACCTGACAGTCTTGCACTCCAATAGCTGTTGTTTAGAGATGGCCTCTTTCATGTCCTCTCCAGGAGAAGGTGAGAAAGATCCTTAACTTTGGGAACAGGCACAAGGCACTGSGTTTTTATCTTCAGACACAGAAGGGACTCTGGCCAAGAACTCCATTACGCTGCATGGACGTTTATCAGCTAACGTACCTGGAACCAGTTTGTGCCACTCCCTGTTCCCAGAACTGTTCTGTAGAGCTGGATCTCATAACAATCATTATTATTTGTACTGTAACCCCGGCTGGTGGCCCCATGCGAGACCCCGCTGTGAAAGCATCACGCAAAGCTGGTCAAATGAGAACTCAT